CGGTGGGTTCTCAGTGGAGGGCCAATTCGCAGACGTGGCTTTTCTATCCGCGGAGCAACCGGATATCCAGCAACGATCGACATCCAACTCACTGTCACACTACGTCGAGGTTGATCTGAACGACGTCCAGTCCAGAAAGCAAAGATGAAAAAGGAAGAACACGGGACCGACATGTGAATATGGAAAGCTTTGTGGGTTCGAAGAGAAGCAAAGTGGCCGGGAAGCTGGTGTCGACTCTGAGATACTCTGAGGTATATAGCGATGACAACAGCTCGGGAAAATGACAGCAGGCAATAAAAACCGAGTCGGAGAAGTCACCGTCAGAGGAAGAGCTGCTGAACCAGAGTCCTCAGCGCTGCGTCCTTGCCGCGACCGGGCGCGAGAGCCGCAGTAGCCTTGCCAGGGCCTCGGCCGCGGAGGCGCGGGAGCAGATGCGGGTCTTGCTGAGGGAGGAGGCGCCGGTGCTTTGCTTTGCGACTTTCCCCTTGTTCAGAGGAGAACCTTGTGAGAACCTTGAAAGCCTGCAACCCACGGAGCGTGTCAGCAAGCTGGTTGGAGCTGCGCGTGTTCTGCCGACCCTCTTGTTGGAAGTCTGATATTTACTGACTAAATAAAGACACACGTAAATAAGTAAATAAAAGAATATATATATATATATATATAGATATAGATATATTATATTCATTCCTGGAAAGCGCCGGTATGTCCGGCTGATGTTTGCCAAAGATTGCCAAAGCACAAGCCGCGGAATGCGTAACTGAACATGGTGAACACACCTTCAAATGGCGGGGTGGAGGATCGTCGAGATAGGGGCCCAATTACAGACTCCTGTCACTCTCTTAGCGGTTCAGATCCGATTCTTTAAGAAGCCTGTATGGATCCGTCGACTTGAAACTTTAGTCTCGTATGCGGTAGGTGGGCCCTGTTCCCATGCCAGGATGACCGAGATGACCTCCAATTTTTCGTTGCTGTCTCAGCTGTACAGAGTGGCATGTGGCCGCTGAGCCCGGCTCTGTGAGGCTTCGAAGCGGCTTTCGCTGCTTTGCCCGATCTCCCTTGAGCGGCTGGAGCGCCCAGCCGGGACCCGCGGAGAGGAAGACTGGTCATGTCATGTCCGTCAGCGAGCTCTTAGAGAGGTTCGGGGCCGCCGATGCCGGCACCTGCGCTGTTTTGGCCTTTCGGCCTACTGCAGGATGCTGACATCCGGTGACAGTCGCAAGGAAGCGCACCCTTCCCTCCGTGTGTTTCGCCAGGAGCAACCATGGAATGGTGCATGGCCCAGCTCTTTCTCTCCGCAGTCCACGAATTCGCGTTTCCTTAGCAAACGAGAATTGCCGGAAGCAGAGAAGTACCGAATTGCACCGAGAATCTGAGACTGCAAGAGCGACGCCTTAGGACGCATTCAACAACCGTGCAGACCTCAGGCAAAGCTGATTCTGCCCCGGAGAACCGTCGTCTCCAAACTTGAACTTTGTGGCAACTTTCGGCAGTTCGCACTTTTGTGTCTTCACCGCACTTGCAGGATGCCGAAAGCGCGTCAGCAAGATGAGTCTTCGTTGTTGATACTGGTACATGTAGCAGATATGACACCCTCACTCGACCTGGAGTGTTTTGAGCCTTCGCAGCTCAGGCTGGACCTGCCCGGTGTGCACCGAGCGGCTACGACCAGCGGACCTTGTAGTGGATGGTTGGGGCCTTGTGTGGATAGCTACATGACTTGCGATTCCTCTGAAAACTGGGTGCCAGGCACAGAGAAGCTGTGTTTGCGTGAAAGTTTGAGTGATGCTGATTGATCACAGTAGCCACGATTCCGCGAGTGCTCCGCTGGCTCGCCTAGGCTATGTAGAGCAGATCCTGGCCGAAACCGAGGCCGGCACTCTTGAAATGATAAAGCAGGTGCCCACCGGGCCAGTCCCTGACACGACGTGTGGGCGGTGCTTTTCTATTCTTCGTCGCGAGGCTGGCTGCGAGGAGGTGATCCTCTCCATGGACGGATCTTGGTGCCCTGCTGTTGATACCGACGAGGCAGACAGGCAAGGAGCAGCGGAAGGCAAAAAGCACAGAATGCTAGGGCCAGTCATTGCATTCATCTGGACCATTTCAACACGAGGGACCTTTGCATCGTGCCTTTTGGACTTCCGTGGAGCGCCATATAAGGATTGTAGCACTTGCCGAGAAGTCTGCAGATTGCTCCTCCAGTCGTCCCGTTTGAGATTCAGTTTGCCGTTGTGACAGAAAGTGCAGAGGGCAGCAGAAGATTCCAGCCAGATGCCAGAGGGAGACAAGGGCTGATACTGTACAGCTAGACACACACACAATGGCTTATCAAGATGATGTGCCATGTGCATGCTGCCAGCAACGCTTGGGTCAGCATCGCAGCTGAGCACAGGTGCAATGCAATCGCCAGGGCCAGGAAAGCATCTGCAGAGCCGGCGTTCCGAGTCGCTGTGGTCCAGCAGACAGTGTAACGGGTACTGGTAGGCCCTCCTACCGTGTCAAATCCCGCACCTACAGAAGCAGAATATGCCTGAACAAGCGCAGAACTGCCTGGCTGCTGTGAGTGAGATGGCGGCCCACAGTTGCCAATCATCGAGCTGGTGATCATGCCGGAGCGACGAGGCGTGGTGTACCTTCAGATCCTTCAGTTTCAAATCACGGAAAGGCAACAAAAAAGAGGTCAGGTGTTGCAAGGAAATTCGGATTGCCCGTGCGGGGCTGTGATGTGTGCAGCTAGAAATCGGCTCAGGTGGCCATCGCCGTTCGGTGGCCTTGGCAAATGATCACGAGGACGGAGTCGGGGACCATTCGCAATCGCATGCAGGGGTACAGTAGCGGCGGAGCATCAACAAACTCTTTACAGCACCAGGCTCTGCAGCTATTTTATAAGGTTCCCAGGATCGGTGAAGCCGAGAGCCATGAGC